AGACAAGCTTCTGATAATACACTAATCAGAATATATTATAATTATGAGCAACAGGATACTTATTGGTGTAAGAGTGAAAAAGTGTAGACTGAGTGATGTACATACATAACTACCAACTAATGAAACCATCTAATAACAAAATAATAATAATGATGTTGTCTCAAGGCAAATCTCCATATGGAGAATTTAACCATATAACTCACCCTCACAACCACAAGACACATCAACACAATCCAACTCACATTAGTATGTTAAACTCTGCTAATTGACTGGAAGTTAAAGCTTGAAAGAACATTTAGTTTAGTCTTGTTATCTCAGAGGAAAAAAACAATTGTCGCAACTAAAAAATCCAACCAAAACGCAAACCATGCACACTACACAGGACAAGGTATAACTGTGCTAATTAAAATAAATGTGTCATGTCCCACAATAATACTTAAATTCTAATTACTCATCCATTTCAACTTTTTACACATGAAACAATCAGAAATACGTATTAATGTGATGAATTAGATTTAATCACTCAGACAGTAGTTACTGCACTCTGTTGCACTGCCTATATATCTGTTTATGCTAATACAAATACAGAGTGCAGGATCTGCAGTTTTGGGGTCAAACAATTGCTCATGATTTTTAAGCCATGAAAATAACGTAGAGAATACATATTTAATAAGAACATAACTGCCGTTCTACCTAAAACACATTTGGCTGGATGGTTAAAAACCTTTGAAGCCATTTTCCTCAGTTTCATTGTTAGCGTTGTTACTGCGGTTTGGCTTTGTAGGGCAGAATAAAGTCATTTATTTTTAACATATAACAAAGCTAGACAATTAGCAAGGTTTTGGAGGAATGCGTGTTAGAGATGTAGTAAGTACATTACTAAGTGCAGTACTCTAAGTACAGTTCCTGGATGTACTTAACCTTAAGTATTTTTTGTTACTTGATTTCAGATACTCCATTACATTCTTGGGAATAATGGTTGCACTAAGAGCTCAACGCACTGCCAACACTGAATGTCATTGTTCATTCTGGGAACAAATAAGTGATCCACCTTTTAAAGAAAGTGAAAAAAGATCTTCTGCAGCTGAAGGGTGATGGACCAGCAGGCGCTGCTGGGACACACTTTCCTTTGGACAGAGCCTGGCTAGCTGTTTCCCCACAACGCTGACTACATACAACTTGTTTAAACAGACATGTTTAGAACTGACTGAGAAACCATGATTCATGTTCTCATTTCAGTGAAACATCATTAACTGGATCATTAACTGACCGTAACCTGTCTTGAGTAACATAACTCTATCCTGCTGGGAGACTTTCCATCAATAATCACATTGTCACACACAACTCTTTAGCATATCTCAGCTGTCATCATAACGTTCCTAAACAGCACTACGACCTTCTTTGCACCCATTTCATGCTGATGCTGCTTTTTCACAATTACTTCTTCTGTTCCACTGATTTTTGTTATTCAACGCAACCCATCTGTCATTTGCATGTTGATTTATACGCTGCTATACACAGTCAGATTTGTTTAAATTTGAATTTAGGGGAAACAGAGGAGGAACTAAACTGGTAAAACTGGTAACTGGTTGGACTGTAGTATACTATACACTTACCTCTACATTTACAGTTCTTATATATTATATTTCTCCTCTGGATCCACACAGTCTAATGTGAGAAATCTGAGATTGTTGTCAGTACTATTCGTGCTATAAACCATGCTGTACCCTCAACAATGTTAAATTAGGGGCGCTTGGTTAGCTCAGTTGGTAGAGTGGGTGCCCCACATACACAGCGGCCCCTCTCTCTCTCTCTCTCTTTCTGCCCCCCCTCCTGTTTTTCCCCATCTGTCAAATGAAGGTGCAAAGGCCAAAAAAAATAATAATAATAATAATACTTGAACAATGTCAAATTAGTCTTCTTCTTTATCAAGGGTACCCTGAATACAACCTGCAAGTAAATTTAAATGGACAGTTCACCCACAAATCACATCTAGATTGTTTTGGTGTAAGTTGCCGAGTTTTGTAGAGATGTCTGCCTTCTCTCCAGTAAATAGAACCAGACGGGGCTCTGCTTGTGGAGCTCAAAGCTCCAAATAAATACAATTGAAGAACTCAACATGTGTCTCTTTCCAGAAATCATGACCCCGTTACTAAAGATAATCCACAGACTTTGTTATGTTTGTATTATATGTATATGTATTATAACTTTTTATTACTTTATTATGTAGGAACTATTCTACAGAGCTAGCTAACATTAAATAGTAAATGGACTGCACTTATATAGTGCCTTTCTAGTGTTTCCAACAATGCACAGGATCAGGAGCAGTTTGGGGTTCAATACCTTGCTCTACATCCTGAGCCACAGCCGCTCCCTAACCAGCTCAGCCATTAATGTTTACATCTCGCGCTGTCAGGAGCACAAGCCTCTCTTTCATGAGTAGACGTGTACTTCGTTCTGCATAGTGATACATACAAAGATAAGTGTTACGCTGAAGGGTAGCGTGTGAGCATAGTTTAATTATGAGGGAACTAAGGGGATCTCTGCAGTCAACAAAAGAGAGAGACACAAAGAGAACAGCTGTTTCTAAGTGCCTTTCATACTGTAAGCAAAGTCCTTCCACGTAAAAATGAATGTGTGTTCCTGAACTCTTCACCTGAGTTTACATTGACAGGGATCAGATGATAATGTTGATACCTCATTCCAGGCTCTGTAAAAGCTTTAAACAGCCGCTGGGGCAGATTGTGTCCGTTTTCGACAATGCTCAAAGTGTCTCTCCACTCTACTCTGTGGAAAATACATGGCTGGCCTTATTTTGATGGAAGCCGCAACCCACTCATGTCAAGTCACAGACAGCAGATTAGACTGGCAGGAAGTTAGGTACAGCACAGAGAATCCGGTCAATATGGCCATTCAGACTCCAGATCAAATTTAATGCTACATCAACACTGTGGCTATGGTGAAATACACCATTTTGTATCCTTAAAAAAAAAACGCACAAGCAAAGTGGGATTTAAAGACGTGCAGTTCACAGAGCCAAACTGCGTCACAGACACAACGTCATAAAGCCACGCTCGGTGGCTTCTGGGTTAGATTTGTGAATAATATCCTGATAATAATCTCATCCTGAGACATTTTTAAATCTAATTTAAAGTCAGTAACAGTACAGTAAACAGAACCATTGATAATTAGTGTTTAGGTCCAATTAGCAGCTTTTAGCATGCTAACAGGCTAAACATAGATGGTGAACATTACCTGCTAAATATCATCATGGTAACATTGTCACTGTGAGCATATTAACATTTAAATGAACCAGTGTGGACAGACTCACAGAACTGCTGTAGACTTGATATGTGGTACAGTGTATGTGATTATGATGATGAATGGTTTTAATTATAATGTAATAAAGCATACATGATAACAATAGAATTTAAAATCTTAAATCAGTATTGAATCATTTTAACTTGTTTCAATATAACTTTATAACCTGTTCTCACTTCCAACTCATTAACTCTAGCAGCAGGTCAGTGACTCTACAAACTATGATGCTGCACCTCGAGTGTCATTTCTGGATGTGCCTACTTAATGCAATGTGTTGATGTGCTGTTGAAGTCAGGTGATGTAGCATAAAGAGCAGTAAAGTCTGCGTTTGGCAATTCAAAGTCTGCTCATATGCTCAGAGAGAGAACAGAGAAGCCACAAGCTAAATGCACTGCTGTACTGTGAGTTAGATGGAAGGTTTCTATCCAGCTTAAAGGGCCTGCAGCCTTCATATAACTGAACTGATGTGTAGGTTAACAGGCAACAGAAGGAATGTGTCAGCTTATAAAGCAGCTTCAGGAATTTGGCACTGTATAAAATATTGTCCAGTAGGCCTGAGGCGATAGATAACACTGGTATCTGTTTACAGTTAAATTCACATTTATTCATTTGGCAGACGCTTTTGTCCAAAGTGACGTACTGGGCCTTGATAATGAGCTGAGACTGTTGGATTCATCTGTTCTGAAAAGGTATAAAAGCTGCAGATGTTGCAGCCCACAGTCAGAAGTGACTGCAGCAGTCTGCAGTGTAGCAGTACACTAATGCTGAGCTGTCTAACATGTCATTTACATATTTAAGGTCCTTACATGTTCAGTGAAGGCTGTGAGATGGTGAGTTTAGAATATTTTTATATTGTTTTTTGACTGATTATTTCCACTGAAGCAGTGTTAGTAAAGGATGTGAAATCCAGACAAAATTAAACAGTTTTTTTTTTCCAAATGATGCTTTTGAACAAAGCAGTTGATTTATTTTGGGGATTTTAATTAATTAACAAGAAAACCTGTCATTTTTTTCATACTGTACGTCGTCCCAATAGCCCCACCACAGTGCATCAACCTCCAGAGCTGTCAGGCTTGTGATAAACAGACAGATCTGCATTATCAATAATATAATAACATCCTTTGATATTAAAACCCAATACTGGTGCACATTCACAGCAGCAGGTGGCAGACATGTCCCAATTGAGCGGGATTTAACC